TCATAAGAATGTGCCAGAATAAACAGGATCATTCTGAAGGATCTAACCAGTGTCACATAGTCGACTGTTCTGTTTCTGTGAAACATGTTTCTCATAAGAATGTGCCAGAATAAACAGGATCATTCTGAAGGATCTAACCAGTGTCACATAGTCGACTGTTCTGTTTCTGTGAAACATGTTTCTCATAAGAATGTGCCAGAATAAACAGGATCATTCTGAAGGATCTGACCAGTGTCACATAGTCGAGTGTTTTGTTTCTGTGAAACATGTTTCTCATAAGATTGTGCCAGAATAAATAGGGTCAATCTGAAGGATCTGACTAGTGACACAGTCGAGTGTTTTGTTTCTATGAAACATGTTTCTCATAAGAATGTGCCAGAATAAACAGATCTGACCAGTGTCACAGATGAGTGTTTTGTTTCTATGAAACATGTTTCTCACAAGAATGTGCCAGAATAAACAGGATCATTCTGAAGGATCTGACCAGTGTCACATAGTCGAGTGTTTTGTTTCTGTGAAACATGTTTCTCATAAGATTGTGCCAGAATAAATAGGGTCAATCTGAAGGATCTGACTAGTGACACAGTCGAGTGTTTTGTTTCTATGAAACATGTTTCTCATAAGAATGTGCCAGAATAAACAGGATCATTCTGAAGGATCTGACCAGTGTCACAGAGTCGAGTGTTTTGTTTCTATGAAACATGTTTCTCACTGTATGTCACAGAGAACATAGGATCATACTGAAGGTAACAGATAATATCCATTATGATCTTAGTATCTAAAAGGAGATAGGAGGGAATAACCAGAGAAAGTTTTTGTCGACCGTTTTCTCGGGAAGATAAAGCAACTCTCACGTGACTCAAGTTTTAACATTTAACAAGAGATTAACTATGAAGTTAGAATAACCACAAGCAATAAACAAGTTTGCCCTGTTGCTGGTAGACGGTTACGAAGTCATTCCCTTCTCTGGAAAAACAACAAAGTCGTGGAAACTGAGGTTAAGATAGAGAGAGTTTAACAAATGGTTGATGGCAATAGTAACACGAATAAGTAATTTTATGGTGGACAGAAGTAGTGAGCTTGCTATTAGTGATACTAATGTCCGAAAAGTCAAAGGTTAGAGAAGGAAGAAAATTACAGATACAGTTATCAAAGCCTGAAATTTGTATTCCTTACAGCTGGAGCCCAGCATGGCCAGGTGGTTAGGGGGCGCTCGACTCGCAATCTGAGGATCGCGGGTTCGAATCCCCGTCTCACCGAACATGCTCACCCTTTCAGCCGTGGGGGCGTTATAATGTGACGGTCAATCCCACTATTCGTTGGTAAAAGAGTAGCCCAAGAGTTGGCGGTGGGTGGTGATGACTAGCTGCCTTCCCTCTAGTCTTACACTGCTAACTTAGGGACGGCTAGCGCAGATAGCCCTCGTGTACCCTTGCGCGAAATTCAAAGCAAAACAAAACAAAAGCTGGCCATATCAACAAACTCGTCAATGTATCGCTTCAAAAGTTTAGAAATTTGGCCACTTGGTGTTCAATGAATGTAGCCAACAAGTATGTCGAAGGGTATTGGATATATTTCCGAAATAATCTATGAGAAACCTGTTGTTGCATACAAACGTAACACTCCAGCAACAAAAGCCTTCCTGGTTTGGTTCTACACTTAGCGGTCGCCCGCCCCCTAGCGTTACTTGTAATCACACCGATTCTGATAAAAGAATATCTCCAGATGATCCTAAGGATAACTTTACCCTAAAATACGCCTTCACTTGTGTACTCCATCATCTACATCTTCTGTATATAGGTGAGCTTGGCCCGCATGATAAAAACGTGAGCATTTTAGTGAACACGGTCGTTATATTTGGAGCGACAACGAATAAGTTCGACCAGGATGAACAGAACATTTTCAGTGTACGTCTCGTGATTTTTACAACACGCTCTCAAAGACCACGAGAAGCGATTACTAGAAGACCAATATTTAACCTCGACACACATTCTTCTCGTGGGATGAACGAAAAGTTGCTTTTCTTTAAATTATATTTACATGTCTCTTCGTGTATATTATTAATACTTGTTAATCTGTCCCTGTAAAATTGTGGAATTTTTTAAGTTTCAACTTTAAACTTGTCTCCTGGCCGGTGTTTTCTTGTAATCTCCTCAAATTAAATACGTTTTATTTAAAAAGAAACACGTTCAAATGTATGGTTTTATTAACCCACAAGCTTATATTTTTACGTGGTTTTCAGGCTGTGTAATACACCCACTTTGAAATGTCATAAAAATAACATTTAGTTTTATTTTTACAAAAACGAAGTCGTCAAACTATACTTGTTACCCTCCCCCCCGGAGTCCGTGGATGTGTCTGTCTGTCTGTGTTTCTGCGCGCGTATCTCTAAAACTAATAGTCCGATGTACACGAAAATTTTACACAAGATGGAAAGTCAGTATGGGGCAGACTTCCCCAAATTTGGTCCGGATCACTTTGAAGCGTTTTTTTTTATATAATGGGGAGATAGGGCATGTTCGCCGTTTGGGGTTAATAACTCTGTAAAGTGTGATCGGATTTGTACCAAATTTCAGGGGCACATTAAGGCTGAGACTTATCACACTAACAAAAAAAAAAAATAGATCCGGATCGTTTATCATTCTGGATCTGGGAAGGATTTTCCGAGTTTTCGGAAGCGTAATTTGACCGTATATAAACGCATGCAATCTCGAAAAGGATCGGCGGGACGACGGTATCCAACCTCTCTGATTACTCTTGTTTCGTTACGTTCGTAGTTTTATCTGCATGTATATCTTACTCTTTATACTGTTGTCGACGTGATAAGGTTTTTGATTTCTGTTCGATGGCTGGACAACCTGTAGTATCCAGAGGAAAAGTTATGACTCAAACGGTCGATTTTCGCATTAACATTATTCTTTACTTAATTTTTATGTTTCTAGTTTTATTTACTTTAAGATATTTTAGTCTAACTGACAAAATGATTTATGACAACTGTGTATTGTTTGAATCATTGTTGATTGTGACAACTGTGTATTGCTTGAATCATTGTTGATTGTGACAACTGTGTATTGTTTGAATCATTGTTGATTGTGACAACTGTGTATTGTTTGAATCATTGTTGATTGTGACAACTGTATTGTTTGAATCATTGTTGATTGTGACAACTGTGTATTGTTTGAATCATTGTTGACTGTGACAACTGTGTATTGTTTGAATCATTGTTGACTGTGACAACTGTGTATTGTTTGAATCATTGTTGACTGTGACAACTGTGTATTGTTTGAATCATTGTTACTGTCGGCATTATAATTTATATACAGTTTTGGACTATTGTGCTGAATGAATTAGTATAAATGGTGAAGAAACAATAGTTTTACGAGAAATGTCACAGAATACTAATTTCTCATCTATGTCTGGTAGTTTGACATATTAATAGCTAGCAACTTCAAGTTGGAAACTGTTTTCTGTTGCTATTGTAGATAAGCCTAAACCTGTTCTCTGGGGAGCTCATTAGTATTAGATGTATAATATCATAGCTGCTTTAACTCAACATTACAACATATGAGTAAATACCATCCTGCAAGATTAGAACGTAGGGGTGGGTGGGGGGGGGGTTGAGGCCTCCAAGAATCAGGTCTCATATAGACCGTAGGCAACTCACTGAAAATATAGCTATCATACTTACTCATAATTAGTAATGACAACAGGATTTTAAACATAAATACTAAATAACAATGTGATACGCATTATAAAATATTCAGGGGGGAGAAATATTTGGAATATTATCCTCACACATAACTTGAATTAGGTAAAACAACAATTTTAGAATAATTATCCGACACCGATTTTTGACTTTTAAAAAGTTGTCACTTACCGTCTAAATCATTTAATAAAGCTTCGGTCGAAGCAGGCTGTAGGTCGTATCTAAAGCTTGCTACCTCTTTTTGAAGAGTATTGTTGACTGGCTCTGCTTCCACATAAAGCGCCACCTGGCCGTGGAAAGAAGTAAAACACCGTAACAAGTCCGGGTGTTTACCGTCAGTTTTACTATAGGTTAAATGAAGTTTTCGATGCCCTTCCACGTATATTTGAGCACCACTAAAATGTTTATCTGTTCGTAAACAGCCGCGGAATTCTCTTCCGGAAGTCCCATGACGTAACACTACACGGAGCGCCCCCCGCGGATAGTTCCACTCAACATAACCGTGAGCACATCGAAGGTATATAGGTTGTACCTCACGCGAAGCATCTTCTCGAAGTCCACTGAAATAATGTTAAATAATTAATAAGCTGATAAGTAATCGAAACGAAAAAAACAACAAACAAACAATACTTTCGATGTTTAAATACAAATATTTCAAAACTATTACAAATTCTTTAGAATGGCTTACAGCGATTCGGCTTCAGCAAAGTTCCAAAATAAGCTCACATCTTTAAGAATGTATAAGCAATGGTTTAATTTTCAGATTGGAATGTAAAATGGTAACCAAAGCACCATGCTATTTCGGATTTATAAACAGCCGCCATATTACTTTCAAACAAGCTTGCTTGCTATTTATCTGTGTGTGTGTTAATACACAAAATTACGTATAAGTACTGACCATCGTGCAAACCTTACATTTAAACTGTGCAGGTATTAAACGTGTTCTCTATACTACAGTAGTAACGTACGGCTGTCAGTTTATAAAACGTCTGAATTTTATCAGTCCCCCACACCGTTAAACACTGCTTAGGCGAGGAGAAAAAGAACAAATCACGTGCTTTAAAAAATCTGTGTTTCAATCTATTATGTGGCATAACACAGTTTAACGAGACGAAAATTAAGATTCCTTTCTGTACCTGTCGATAAAATATCAAATAAATGTAAACTACCTGTTACAACGGTTGTACAAACACATATCCATATATAAAAGTAAACTACATGTTACACGGCTGTACAAAAATATATTCATTAATCCCTTGGCTCTAATAACGTAAACTAAAGCTACCTGTTACAATTTATATATGGATATGTGTTTGTATAACCGTTGTAACAGGTAGTTTACTTTTATATATGGATATGTGTTTGTACAACCGTTGTAACAGGTAGTTTACTTTTATATATGGATATGTGTTTGTACAACCGTTGTAACATGTAGTTTACTTTTATATATGGATATGTGTTTGTATAACCGTTGTAACAGGTAGTTTACATTTATATATGGATATGTGTTTGTACAACCGTTGTAACAGGTAGTTTACGTACAACCGTGTAACATGTAGTTTACTTTTAAATCACATATCCATTAATCCCTAGGCTCTAATAACGTAAACTAAAGTTACCTGTTACACGGTTGTACAAAAACATATCCATATATAAAAGTAAACTACATGTTACAACGGTTGTACAAACACATATCCATATATAAAAGTAAACTACCTGTTACAACGGTTGTACAATCACATATCCATATATAAAAGTAAACTACATGTTACACGGTTGTACAAAAATATATCCATTAATCCCTAGGCTCTAATAACGTAAACTAAAGTTACCTGTTACACGGTTGTACAAAAACATATCCATATATAAAAGTAAACTACATGTTACACGGTTGTACAAAAACATATCCATATAATCCCTAGGCTCTAATAACGTAAACTAATGCTACCTGTTACACGGTTGTACAAAAACATATCCATTAATCCCTAGGCTCTAATAACGTAAACTAAAGCTACCTGTTACACGGTTGTACAAAAACATATCCATTAATCCCTAGGCTCTAATAACGTAAACTAATGCTACCTGTTACACGGTTGTACAAAAACATATCCATTAATCCCTAGGCTCTAATAAATGTAAACTACTGCTACATGTTACACGGTTGTACAAAAACATATCCATTAATCCCTAGGCTCTAATAACGTAAACTAAAGCTACCTGTTACACGGTTGTACAAAAACATATCCATTAATCCCTAGGCTCTAATAACGTAAACTAAAGCTACCTGTTACACGGTTGTACAAAAATATATCCATTAATCCCTAGGCTCTAATAACGTAAACTAAAGCTACCTGTTACACGGTTGTACAAAAACATATCCATTAATCCCTAGGCTCTAATAACGTAAACTAAAGCTACATGTTACATGGTTGTATCGATTTATTCGAACGTGGTTTTCGTGAACTACGCATTTGGTAGTTTATTATTTCAACAGAATAATGGCTACCTTCAAGGGTTTATGACGATGAACACTAGGACATTGTTCAAAGTTCGTTCTCAGGAGTGTTCGTGTTATGTTGGGGTACCTGAACCCTTTCGCTTTTGCACAATTTTCTTTCCAGTTTCAGATGGTAAAACACGATAAGGGCAAGCACTTCTGAGCACGTGTTTTTCATGAAAAGCAAAGGGTTGAATTAACTGTAGACACAAGTACACTCCGTTACTCCTGTCGAGCTCAGTACAGCTGCTCTTTTTTTATCTCAGAACTTCTTGTTAATTTAAGCCCACCAGATTTGACAAGTGGGCAGACTCGCGTGTTTCAGCGAAATAGTATTTGAAAGCATATCCTTATGGGCGCAATATAGGGTTGTAGAGGGAGTAAATGTGGCGGGAACGGGCCATTTTTTGCAGCAAAGAAATGTTGTGGTTCAAAAGGCGCCCCCTACTGTGAGCAGCTGGGCTTGAGAGTAAGTGGTTGTCAGGACGTGAAGAACTGAGGTTCTTTCTTCCAGACCTATAGGTCATAAGCACGAGGTCACTACGCAGAAGAAAATTAGACACTATGTAGTAGAATCCGTGTGGTGTATACCAGACTGAAAAATCGTGTCTACTGTTTATGATCAAATTTATTTGAGCCTTTAAAACCGCGTGTAAACTCGGGAATTAATTTTAATTATTTTTAATTTCGTTTAATATCATTAAAACATGTACATCTGACTGGAGTAACATTCCAGGACGAAATACAGACCTAGTGAAAGTGGGGCTAAGTCAGAATCAGTTCATCTTGAATATGTCACTGCTAAAATACGTAGTGTAAAACCTGTAAAATAATCAGATTGTGTAACAATTGTAAAAAATATTCGGGTCTGTTTCAGAATTAGAATTAGAGCTATCTGCGCATAATTTTGAATTGAAGGTATCTATTCAACAGCAACCACCGCTAACTTTTGGGCTATTCTTGTCTAATCTAATAAGGTGTTTTAATCTGTCACTCTTATAGCGCACCTACAGCTCCAAAATGCAGCGCGCGTTGTTATGGTAATAGGTCGCGAACCATAAACTCTCGGATTAACAGTCTGAACACGCTAGTCACTAGCCCCCCCCCCAGCCGAAAGAAATGAAGCAACTGTAAAGATATTATAGTTGTGTAACAAACGTATAACAGTGGGCATAGATCCAAGATACAAACTACACATATCTTCTAAGTGTGTAACAATGGTAAAAAGATTATTTTTCTAGTAAAACATTTATTATTTTTATTATTAATTTAATCGTTATTAGACATTACTACTAGTTCTATTATATTTGTTAGCACTGCATTCTGTATCTAATAGAGTGTATAGTAATAGTACAACCAATCACAATATATTTCGTTCAATCCAGAGCTCATCGGGCCGGCTGGGACACAACAAACACAGTATTATTAGTAGTTGGAATGCTATTTATACTAGCCATTTGTTACAATAACAGTTGTTATGGTGTGATCGCCTTTTTCATGTTGGCGAAGCATGATTATAATTAAGTTACTTGTCATTAGACATTAGTATTAAGCCTATTATATTTTTAACACAGCATTTCATATATAGCCCCTTAGGGATTTTCATGGATTAAAAGAGTGTATAATGATAGTATTCAACCACATTATGTTCGCCATATACATTGACGAAGACGCGTTTCGCTCAATTCGGAGCTCATCAGGTCAGCTGGGACCCAACAAACGTAGTAATGGTCGAAACATTATTTATATAAGCTATTTTTATAACAATTACTAAAAATAGTTCAAGATGAGAAGTAATTCAATTAAAATCAGAGTTGTGTATTAAATTATGGATTATGTGAATTCGTAGTATTAAACTACCTTTAAGGACTTTAACAAAATACACACACACACACACACACATATATATATATATATATAGTTTGTTTTGGTTCTTTTAACCACAAAGTTACACAATGGCCCATCTTTGCTATGCCAATCACAGGTATCGAAACCCGATTATTATCGCTGTAAGCCTGCAGACTTACCACTGAGGCACTAAGAGGCAATGGATATAGTAAATAAATCTGCATCACCTGTTATTTATTTTTGATATTTCTTTTTGAAATCAATGGCTTTGAAATATAAAATTCCACTTGTTATAATGTTGTTGTAGCTTTGTTCCTTCGTTGGTGGGTTCTTTTAAATTATCTGGTGAAAATAATTCAAAGTTCAGACGGCGTAACAAACACAGTTGAGTATTTTTTCCTTTAACGTTTCTACAAGCTTGAACACTTGCACACTGTCGTAAATTTCAGACCTAATAATTCTAGGCTTAACGTAAAAGAACTTACTTGCATAAAGTAACACAGATCCAAATACTTCACGAAAACATAACGATTGATTCAACTATCTATCTTGAAACAACTCTACAATCTTCTCAACTATCTAGTATTTATAATCTAGCTTCGAATAAACGAGAAAACTTTGACGTCGACTTAGAATTTTCTAGGCCTACTTTTACGTTATCATTAGAAATCGCAGCTCCCTCTAACTAATATACAAATTACAACATTAAAAATATTACAACACTGTTTTGGTGAATATACGAAGTCAAATCTTAAGATGTCACAAAGATTCCACTTTTAAAACCATTTTATTTAACGCCAAAGATGTAACTTCATCTGCTTGTTTGTAATTAAGCACAAAGCTACACAATGGGCTATCTGTACTCTGCCCACCACGGGTATCGAAACCCGGATTTTTGCGTTGCAAGTCCGCAGACATACCGTTGTGCCACTGGGGGGGGGGGCACCATCTGCTAGACTAGTGCAGTAGTAATTTGCTAATTAGTAAGTTACGTGTCTACAGTTATTTGTTTGTGAAGTTAGGCTTATCGCTAATTACGTTAAAAATATTAAGTATGTAGAACTTTCACTTGAAGAAATAAAACGCTTTCCTTTCATTACGTGGTCTGGCCTTATTTTGTAGCATTATATTTACCGAACATTAAAAAAAGAAAGAACACACACAACGATTGAAACACTTACAATAATATTATTAGAATAACACATATGCGTAATGGTTAAGTAAAAAACACCTCAGCCATTTCTTACCACTTGTAACTACGAGCAGGAGCTATATATTCTAGCTCGTGAAAAGAAACGCCATTATTAGTGTCAAGACAATAGTATTCTAGCTGGCGTACAAGAATAGGCCTAAACGCTAACAATGTTATCTATTAATCTATTTATCACCAGCGACAACACAAGGACCATTCCCCCTAACACAGAAATGCAACGAACCGTTACTTATACGAGTCATCTGAGGCGGACTTCTATAAAGAAACATTATGCGTCAAACTTTCGAAATACGTTTATTACAAACAAGTGTAATATCCAAATGTACACGTAGTTTTATAAACTGCATCATTCATTATAATATACTGGAATGGTAGGATAATAAAGGCGATAAATATATACAAAAGATCATCACAAAGGAAACAGAAAAAAAAAAGGGAAGAAGGAAGGAAAGGCTGCCATGTTATCATTCTCGTAGAATCACAATAATAATGAAGTACGCTCAACATTTTAGTAGTGCGCATGGTTAAAAACAGCTTAGACGAAACGTCGTAACTCGCTTCGCAATCATATTTAATTACGTTTGGTTTCTTAAGAATGTATAAGTATTACAAATGAGATAAGAAAAATGAACTAACTGCATGGTACACAGAACAACTGCAATTAAAGCAGTTAGTTTTTTTACAACTGTAATTAAAGCAGTCAGTTTTTGTTCGATGTGCAGAACAACTAAAAAAAAAAAAAAAGACGAAGAAGCGCAATCTAGACAAATGACTAGACAGGCTATAAGGCATATGTTAGTTAACCTTTAACACACACACACACACACACACATATATATGTCCCAGTATCAACATATGCTCAAACAATTTATTGAAATTAAACATGCGCAAAGTAAATTTTTAGATACTATTATATACTTCCATACTGTTGCCCCCCCCCCTTTTTTTAGTGGTTTGTATTTCTCACCCGCCTCCCAGAAGAATTTTCTTTATTTTTTATCAGCAGAAAGGGTGGGGGAAAAAAGACACGTTTGTCTTTGACTAATTCCTAATTATACATGTTTCATGCTCGTTATATAGCTATGTAACATGCTCTGGGAAGCTGAAACTATACATCATAACATATTAGAACTATACACGAGTTGTTTGATTAGAACTATATACGAGTTGTTTGATTCATTAACTGTAAACCATAACATATTGGACATATAAACTAAACAAGCTAAACTCTGTTCCTTCTGAAACTAAACGGGATAAACTCTATTCCTGTTGTAACTAAACGGGCTAAACTTTGTTCCTGTTGAAACTAAACAGGCTAAACTTTGTTACTGATTAAACTAAACGGACTAAACTTTGTTACTGATGAAACTAAACGGGCTAAACTCTGTTCCTGTTGAAACTAAACGGGCTAAACTTTGTTCCTGCTGAAACTAAACAGGCTAAACTTTGTTCCTGTTGAAACTAAACAGGCTAAACTTTGTTACTGATGAAACTAAACGGGCTAAACTCTGTTCCTGTTGAAACTAAACGGGCTAAACTTTGTTCCTGCTGA